CCAGCTGCTCCGCGGGAGAAAGATGAGGCTTTCTGCTCCTGTAAAGATTTACAGCCTCGGAAACCCTGTTCAGGGTCGCTATGGGTCGGAACCGATTCGATGGCACTTAACAACAACAACTTTATGATGAATAGGGAAAGCAGCTTGCTGTTTAAACTCAACAGCCCAGCTAGTCTTCCAAGTGTGAAGAGTGGGGAGAGGATTTAAGTCCCCCCCAAAAAATTGGGTAGGGGGAGTGTACAGAGATCTAGTTTTACTATATGTGTGCATTCAGTTTAATCTTTTTGCTAACAGAAGATCCGTGGGACGCCTCAATTTCTTTCAAGGATCAGCTTTGTTTTCTAGTATCTGGGGTTTAACTTCAGCAGGGACAGGAAGGAGTTCCCAGTAAGCAAGATACAGGTTTGAATCACAAGTAAGCCTGTGCTTACCTTGCTTACTGGTTACAATCTTGTCAGGGATTGTACATTTGAAATAAGGCTTTGATTCTGTGGGAAGGTGCTGGGTTTGGAGAGAGACATGCCATACATCCCTGGAAACAGAATCTTTGATGTAGAAAAAACCGTGAAATTGTTCACGAAAAATTAGTAAGCATGAGTAATCCCATGCTTACCTTATTGAGTAGTTTGACACTGAGTGCCAATTTGACAGATTTTGTAGCCTGCCAATCTTCAGCTACACGCAAAAAAAAAAAAAAAAAAAAAAAAAAAAAGCTACAGCTACATGCAGGCTAACCCCGGGAATCTAGGACCCAGCGGTTGCTTGGCATCCCCTGGTCCTGCCCTTTCGTGCATCAGCAGCCTAGGATTGGCTCTGGGTAGCCTGGCCCCTCCCCGCCATGGCCGCCGCCTGTCTCCTGGGCTGTTAGGTATCTGCTGGGGTGCTGGTCTCAGCTTGCGTTCCGCTGCAGTTTGTTCTGCTGGCGCGTGGCGCATGGGTCTACTCAGAGGCGGGTCCCCATGTGCTCGAGTCATGGCGCGCCTGGGCGCCGTGCGCTCCCATTACTGCGCACTGCTGCTGGCTGCGGCGCTGGCGGTCTGTGCCTTCTACTATCTTGGCTCGGGTCGGGAGACCTTCTCCAGCGCCACCAAGAGGCTGAAGGAGGCCCGCGCTGGGGCCCCTGTCGCGCCCTCGCCGTTCGCGCCCGAGGTGGCACGGAGCTCCGCGGCGCCGGCCCCGGGCGCCAAAGCCAAAAGCCTGGAGGGCGGGGGGACCGGGCCGGTGGATTACCACCTGCTGATGATGTTCACCAAGGCGGAGCACAACGCCGCACTGCAGGCCAAGGCCCGCATCGCGCTGCGATCGCTGCTGCGCCTCGCCAAGTTCGAGGCGCACGAGGTGCTTAATCTGCACTTCGTGAGCGAAGAAGCCAGCCGAGAGGTGGCCAAGGCCCTGCTGAGGGAGCTACTGCCGCCAGCCGCCGGCTTTAAGTGCAAGGTGAGCGGGGCCGAAGCTGGGGATTTCATAAGACAAGGACTTGTAAAACTCTACCCAGTTCCTGCCTGAAATGTGACTTCAGCCGGGGGCGTGCCGGGAGTAAAGTGAGCTCAGCCTGTCTGTAGTACCGCTGAGCTGTTATTATTAACCGATCGCCCGCCTTTTCTCTCTCTACCCCCGTGAAGTGCGGCACCCTCAGGAGAACTGACAGGTTTTTGCTAGTTTTACAGGATTCAGCAGTGTCTTCAGTCTGCACCTTTTTCTTTTCATTCTCATCAATCTTTAACTTTTGAGGATGGAACAGGTCATTTTGGAAGAACCAGTAGTCACACTGAACAAAGTGTTTGTGACGGGCCTGGTGAGGCTGCTTGGTGTGTTAAAGTTCCAGGGAGGTTTCTCAGTCAGCTCTTTACCTAGTTCAGTGGGATCTGGTCAAGCCCAAACCTAGCCAGTGAGAACCATCTCATCCTGTCCATATGCCTTTTCCGTTGCCCTCAAGGGTCATGAATCTGTTTAAAGAAGCTGCAAGTTCCTTTAAGGGAGGAAACAAAGCTATCATCCAGTCAGTTCTGACTCATAGTAACCTTATAAAATAGAACAAAACTGTGCCGCATCTTTACTGGAGCAGCCAGCCTTATGAGGAGCTCAAAGACCTGTGGTTAGCAGCCCAACGCTTAACTCTCTGTGGCATCAGGGCCTTAAGGAAAGCTCTAAGAAGTACCAATATGAGCTGGGGAGAGATGAACTAGCTGCCTTGTCTTCGGCTAGATCAGCCTGCATCAGGGGGATCTCCATCTCTCCACATCATCTCATCTCACCTCTTGTGTCTGCTTATCAGATTGGCTTCCTGTCTTACTGTGAATCACCTTGATCACATTACTTGCCTCCTTTTGACCCAGTAGTTGCATAGAAGGGATCCAAGGTTTGATTTTTTCAATAGAAGTGGTTGTTTGTTGTTGTTTAAATGCCTCCAAGTGGAGTCCAACTCATCGCGACCCTGTATTAGGTTTCTGAGGAGCAGCTGGTTGATTTGAACCGCTGACCTTGTGACTCAAATTAACCTTGCAGTCTAGCACAGTATCCACAGCATGGATAATATTAAGTAATGGAGATTCAAGTTGGAGGCAGCGGCTGTGAGGCAGGAATAGTGTTTCAAGTGTTTATGGCCCGTAAGTGACGAGGGGGAACTTCACAGTTCAGGGGTCTGCAGTGGCTTCTTGATGCCTAGAGAATTAAGTCCCAATTTCTAAATAGGGCTGTTGGCTGACCCTCCTCCCCAACCTCACCTCTCTTCTGTCCCAACTCATAATGAGCTTATGCACAACAGAATGAAACACTGCCGGGTCTTGTACCAATCTTAAAATTGTTGCTATGCTTGAGCCATTGCTTTTGCCACCGTGCCGATCCTTCATGTTGGGGGTCTTCCTCTTTTTTGTTCACCCCCGGTTTTACCAAGCATGATATCCTTTTGATAATATGTCCAAAGCATGACAGATGAAGTGTAGCTATCCTGGCTTCTAAGGATCATTGTGGCTGTATTTATTCCAACACAGATTTGTTTGTTCTTCTGGCAGTCCATGGTACTTTTTTTTTTTTATAAATCAAAGCCTTTATTCAACAATGTGATGCACTGCCAAAAATGACCACAGGAGATGGTAAAAATACAAACTGAATCTCTGCAGTGGAGAGTGATGGTCCTTCTTTGGTCTTAGCAAATTCTGTTATATTTGGAATACAGTATGGTGTTCCATTCCAGGAACTACCTTTTAAGAATGACAAAGATAAAGAACCCTTTATTCAAAGGAATGTATCCAAGATGGGAAGGAGACCTTGAAACCTTCGGAAGCACACAAAATAGAAATCTAAATGGCACAGTGTGTTTAAATGCAATTGGGCATAATATGTTGAAAACCTTTCTTTCCCTTATTAACAGGCTTATTAAGATACAATTCACAAACCATAAAACTCACTCTTCTAAGTTACAAAATTCGGAGTCCTGGTGTGGCGCTCTAAGGGAAGTACTGAATTACTAAGAACAAAGTAGGTGGTTCAAACCCACCAGATGCTCCTCAGAAACTCTATACATGGTCATTATGAGTCAGCTGACTTGATGGCACATAACAACAACAATGATAACAACAACAACAGAAATGGAGTTTCTTTCTGGAATGATGAAAAAATCTAAAATTAGATAGATGATGATGCCACTCTGTAAGTAGGCTTTGTTGTTTGGTGCCACCCAGTTGGTTCTGATTTATAGCGATTCTATGCACAAAAGAATGACACACTGCCTGGTCCTGTGTCATCCTCACAACTGTTGCTATGTGGCTGCCACTGTGTCAGTCAGTCTCACTGAGGATCTTCCCATACCGAAAAAAAACCACACTAAAATTTGTAACTTCTCATTGTTGTTGTTAAGTGTCATCAAATTGGTTCCAACTCGGCAACCCTGTGTAGAGTTTTCAAGGAGTGACTGGTGGATTTGGACCACCGACCTTGTGGTTAATGTTGTTGTTGTTGTTATGTGCCGTGGAGTCGGAACCGACTCATAGCGACCCTGTACAGGGTTTCCGAGGGTGTAAATCCTTACGGGAGTAGAAAGCCTCATCTTTCTCC